ACGCAGATCTGCCCTTGCAGAGGAGGGAGAGCTGGTACCTGAACAAAACTTAGTGCCACTGGACTGTTTTGGGTTGGGGGGCTCTGCAACTTACCTGGCTGCTTCTTGCTCTGACTGAGGGCTGCTGGGAGCAGGGGGTGGGGCTTGTTGCATGTGCCCGCCCCCTGGGCTCTTTACTGCCAGAGCTCCGCTCCTGTGTGCTCCTGCAGGAAATGACCTCTGATGGGTGGTATGGACTGTCCCGCTACAGGCAGGGGGATGCCATTCTGAATGCCGCCCCACCTGCGAGGTGTCTCCCTATAACTTTCCACTATCAGCTTGTATGGAGCGTACACGTGGTATGCCTTCCGTGCAGTGTTCCCTCTAAGCTGAGTTAGTGTGAGCTGCCTCACAGTTATTTAGCCTCCGGCTCGCACATTTTTGCCTTAGCTCAGGAAGGAGGGCTCCAGAGCAAACTAACCTGTGCGGCAGCCCAATCGCTCACTCACAGCTTTAGTGCCAGGAGCTCACAAAGCAGAATTTTTTTGCTCACGAGACTCCACAGCTTAGGGGGAGCCTGGGTTAGGAATGGATCCAGCTCTGAGTACAGGGATCCCTGGCCCGAGAGGACAGGGCCCACGAGTTCCCTCGGGGGCACTGCCGAGGCGGCACCAACCGGCACTTACTCATGCGGAAGAGCCCTTGGCCCCCCGGCGTGTCTTCCGACCACTGGCCCTCGTAGATGGCCCCGTCCTGGTAGTACATCCGTCCCCAGCCGTCTCTCTTCCCCGCATTCCATTCTCCTTCGTAATACTCTTTATCTGAATAAAACTTAATCCCGTAGCCCTGAAATTACACAGGGGAAGGGGAGAGATGTATTTTTATTTGATGTATCTGTTTCCGACCAACCTAGCAGTTCGAAAGCAAGGCATTGCAAGTAGATCAATAGGTACCACTTCGGTGGGAAGGGAACAGCGTTCCGTTCGCCTCGGCATTTAGTCATGCTGGCCACATGACCGCAGATATGTCTTCGGACAGTGCTGGCCCTTCGGCTTGGAAACGGAGATGGAGCACCGCCCCCTAGAGTCGGTAAAGGGAAACCTTCACCTTTACTTGCTTCATCTATACGTTGCCTTTCTATTCAGTGGGGGCACAGAGAGGTCTACATTGTCCTACTCCATTTTATCCTCACAACAGTCCATCGAAGTAGGTGGGCCTCTGTGGTAGTGGTTAGAGTGCAAAACCAGGATCTGGGAGACCCAGATTCAAATCTCCACTCTACCATAGGCCAGGGACGCACTCTCAGCCTAACCTACCTCACAGGGTTGTTGTGAGGATAAAACAAGAGAGGAGAGTGATGTAAGCCACCTTGGGGGCAAAGCAGCATACACATATGAAGTAAATAAATAAACAGGTTGTGGCCAAAGGGTGCGATTGGCCCGTGGTCATCCAGCAGGCACCCATGGCAGAGCGGAGATTCGAACCTGGGTCTCCCAAATCCTAGGGCAGCACTCTTAACACTCGAACTACACCACACTGTCTCACCATGTAATGTCATGTTTCCTCTGTCAGTAAGGGTGCTGCCTTAAAGCACACCTACTTGGGGGGAGGAGGAGGAGGAGAAGAAGAGATTGGATTTCTACCCCGCCCCTCACTACCCGAAGGAGTCTCAGAGTGGCTGACAATCTCCTTCCCCTTCCCCTTCCCCTCCCCACAACAGAGACCCTGGGAGATAGGCGGGGCTGAGAGAGCTCTCTCGAGGACTGCCCTTGAGAGAACAGCTCTAAAAAAACTTATGACTGACCCCAGGTCACACCAGCAGCTAGCTGCCTGTGGAGGAGTCGGGAATCAAACCCGGTTCTCCCAGATTACAGTCCATGCTCCTAGCTACGACACCAAATGGTGTAAGTCCCATTGTGTCCTGACCTGGACGGCCCAGGCTCGCCCACTCTTGGCAGATCCCAGAAGCTAAATCGGAACACCCCTGGTTATTCCTGGGATGGGAGACCCACCAAGGAAGTCCAGGGTGGCTCCGCAGAGGCAGGCAAGGGCAAAACACCTCCCATTCATCTCTTACCTTGAGAACCTATCGGGGCGTCCTAAGTTGGCTGCGACTCAACGGTCCTTTACACGCACACAAATCTTACTGGACGCAGCAGAACCGGCTATGAAAGAAATGTGTGGGATTGGTCTGCAGGGGAAAGGAAGGCCAGTTTGACGCTGGGCTGTTGCAGCAAATGGGTTTTTGCCAGGAAACTGGTCCCTTCCTCCTCTTCTGCAATCACAGGCAACACAGGCCCATAGCTACCGTGGGTCCTCTCGGGGCCCAGCCCCCTCAACTACCATCAAGGCCCCCCCCTGACTTCCCATCCAGCCCAGGCCCCACAACGTCCAATTTTTAATTTTATTTATGGTGCTCACTTGGGTGTGTGTGTGTGCAAGTGCCCCCTGACTTATTGAAAGCCCCCCCCCCAAATTAAAAAATCCCGGCTACCGTCTTGAGTCAACACCTAAAGGAGGACGTTTCCATCCGCAGTGGAAGCAGAGAGTGCCTTACCCACATCTTGTCATTTTTCCACCAGCCCGCATACATTTTCTTGTATTCTTTAGTGACGGGGTCAGGAATGCTGTATGTCCCATAGCCTTCCCTTCTCCCGAACTTCCAGTCCCCGCTGTAGATCGCCCCGGTGCGTTTCCACGTTTGGGTGCCTTTGCCTGGAAGCAGATCGAAATGCAGGGACTCGAATTAGAATTGTGCGAACCGAGGAAAGGCGGCAGGCCTTCGGCTAGAAACCCAGGCGCTCCCGGGCTTGGAGAGAAGGTGGCAGACGTTCCGGTGGGTTAGGAGGAAAGGATGGGTTTCCCATTCATTCCTTTTTAAGCCCTTACCAGGACATCTGTCCGCCCCGCCTAGTAAGAATGGCTGGCTACAGGCCCGAGAGGCGGAAAGAGAGAACCGTTGGAGCTGTGCGAAGAAGCAAGGGACGTGGGAGTTAGAGGTCAAGGGTGGTGCAGAGCAAGTGCGAGCTCCTTTGGAGGACTGTGTACAGTTCTGGTCACCAGACCTCAAAAAGGATATTATAGCATTGGGAAAAGTGCAGAAAAGGGCAACTCGAATGATCAAAGGGTTGGAACACTTTCCCTATGAAGAAAGGTCAAAGCGCTTGGGGCTCTTTAGCTTGGAGAAACGACGGCTGAGGGGTGACGTGATCGAGGTCTGCAAGATTATGCATGGGACAGAGCAGGTCGAGGAAGAAGTACTTCTCTCCCTTTCTCACAATACAAGAACCCGTGGGCACTCCATTAAATTGCTGAGCAGTCGGGTTAGAACGGATAAAAGGAAGTCCTTCTTCACCCAAAGAGTGATTAACACACGGAATTCACTGCCACAGGAGGTGGTGGCGGCTACAAGCATGGTCGGCTTCAAGAGGGAATTGGATAAGCAGGGCCGGCCCCAGCTTATTTTGCACCCTAGGTGAGGATCCCTTCTGGCACCCCCCCATGCACCCCCCTGGTCAGAACCAGCGGAAGGGCTTTTGGCGGCGGGGGGGGGTGCAGTTTGGCACCCCTCATCAGGGCGCCCGGAGAAGAGGCTGACCGGCGGGGCGCTCACAAGCTATCGCTCCCCCGGCCCTGTTGCTGCCGCAAGGAGGAGGAGGAGGAGTGCTCCGCTGGGAAGCCGAGAGGGCAGGCAGGGAGAAGGTACCTGGCCAAAGAGGCAACGGGCAGTGGTGACAGCTGGGGTCACCTGGCCGTGGAAATGCAGGGCTTTTGGTGGGGGGGCGGGTGCAGTTTGGCGCCCCTAAGGGCCGGCACGCTCTAGGCGAATGCCTACTTCACTTAGTGAGTGAGCCGGCCCTGTGGATAAGCATATGGAGCAGAGGTCCATCAGTGGCTATTAGCCACAAGGTATAGATAGGGACTTCAGGGCAAGGGATGCTCTGTATTCCTGGTGCTTGGGGGGGGGGCAACAGTGGGAGGGCTTCCGGTGTCCCGGCCCTGCTGCTGGACCTCCTGAGGGCACCTGGTATTTTTGGCCACTGTGTGACACAGCGTGTTGGACTGGATGGGCCATTGGCCTGATCCAGCATTGGCTTCTCTGATGTTCTTATGTAAGTGGAGTTAGACTTGCTTGCCAACTCTGGGTTGGAAAATCCCTGGAGGTTTTCAGGGTACAGGCAAGGCAAGGAAAGGGATGCGGGACTAACTGGGCCTCTCTGTTTCTAGGCTGCCATCCTCCCAACGGGGACCGGAATCACAACTGATTTCCAGACGACAGAGTTCAGTTCCCCTGGAGAAAACGGCTGCTTCGGAGGGTGGGCTGTCTGGCATTATGCCCCCCTGGGGCTCCTACCCCCAAATCTCCAGGGGTTTCCCGACCCTGATCCAGTAACCCTCTCTCTGTCTCTGTCTGTCTGTTTGCCTGTTTGGTGTAGTGGTTAAGGGCGCGGACTCTAATCTGGGAGAACCGGGTTTGATTCCCCACTCCTCCACTTGCAGCCGCTGGATGACCTTGGGCAAGTCACTACCCCTTCCCCTCCCCACAACAGACACCCTGTGAGGTGGGTGGGGCTGAGAGAGCTCTGACAGAAACTGCTCCTAAGAGAAGAAGAGGAGATTGGATTTATACCCCGCCCTTCACTACCCAAAGGAGTCTCAGAGGGGCTGACAAACTCCTTTCCCTTCCCTTCCCCACAACAGACACCCTGTGAGGTAGATGGGGCTGAGAGAACTCTGACAGAAACTGCTCTTTTTTAAGGACAGCTCTTATCGGAACTACGGCTTGCCCAAGGTCATCCAGCAGGTGCAAGTGGAGGAGTGGGGAATCAAACCCGGTTCTCCCAGATTAGAGCCCGGGCACTTAACCACTGCAGCAGACCTAGCCAAACGATTCCATGGGATCCAGCCCGTCAGCTTTGCGTAGACTTGCATGTGTCGTGTTTGTTTCTTAACATTTTTATGTGATTTAAAAAAGAAAAGTTTAGTGCGACTCAAAATAATTGCTTCCGGCACGTCAGGGGTCAGCTGCTCCCGGGAGCGTCTCCTTCTCCCTCCACGTTGTCCTTACCGTGTTTCAGATTGTCCAGCCATTCCCCGGTGTAGCGATCCCCGTTCACAGCGTAAACCGTGTGTCTCAGTCCACATTTCTGGGCTTTCCTGTCCCATTCGTACCAAAGAGGGTCGACTGTTCTGGGGTACTTGACGATAGGCATGCCGGTTTCGTCTAGGGGGAAAGGCGAGAGAGGCAGGTCAGACCGGCAGTGTCTGAAAGGCAGGCAGAGATTGGCTTCCTACCGTATCTGTCTGTCTGTCCACCTACTTCATTTATACCCTGAAAAGTACGCAAACGGAGAGTGATTTCAGCAAAGCGTACTTTATTCTATCCAGAACAAGACAACTTTGGCCGGCTCGCAGGCCGGCTTATATCCCCCGAGAAACCGCCACCCAAAACACACCCCTACTTCCCTATAGGTTATTTACAGCGGCCGAGAGTCCCACAGGCTCTCGGCCGGGAACCTAGCCCCCTGATTGGAGCGGGCTAGGATCCGCATAGTCCATTGTCTCTTGGAGCGAAGCTCGACGTTTGTCTCTGGACTTGTCTGGACTGGATACATTACATACCCCAACACGGACCCAAAGCATCTTACATCATTCTAAGCTAAGGCTTCCAGCCTCCGAGTGAGGCCTGGAGATTTCCCAGAATTACAACTGATCTCCAGATTAGCGATCAGTTTCCTTAGAGGAAACACAAGCCACTTCGAAGGGTGGACTCTCTGGTATTAAACCCCTCTTCAGATCCTTCCAGAGTAGATTACCCTAAGTGGTCCCTCCTCCTCTGTCCTTGTGGAGGAAAAGCTTCATGGAGACTGTTCTTGGGGAGCAACGCAGCAAGCAGGTTGGCTTCCTAGACCCTTCTGCCAGCCCTCGCGAGACGTCCTGGATCATCCTTCAGCCCAGAAAGAGCCAGGCCCACCCTGCCTGGTCCTCGTGAGGTCACGGTGACGTCATGAGTCAGCCTGGAGAGGTGGGGATTGTGAGGCTTCAGTCACCCGGGAGATGTGTGCTTTGCTTGCTGCCTCCTGGCTTCAGCAGGCTGGGCATCTCTCAGACCAGTGACCCTTCCTCTCTCCAGCAAGCCCTCCTGGACGAGGGGCGGACGGGACACTCGGGACGTGATGCTCCAGGGATTGGGGTTCCCCTGCAGCAAACAGAAGCCCTCCCTGCCCCCGAAGGATGCACGCCGCAGCCATCAAAACCACGAGAAGCTGCAGACACCCAGCGGAGGAAGGGGGCTTTTGCCTTAAAGCCATGCCTGATTAAGAGCCTTGCATTGGACCAAAGCATGTGGCTCTGAGAGCCAGTTTGGTGTCGTGGTTAAGTGCGCGGACTCTAATCTGGGAGAACCGGGTTTGATTCCCCACGCCTCCACTCGCAGCTGCTGGATGACCTTGGGCAAGCCATAGTTCTGTCAGAGCTGTTCTTGAAAAAGAGCAGTTTCTATCAGAGCTCACTCAGCCTCACGTACCTCACAGGGTGTCTGTTGTGGGGAGGGGAAGGGAGTTTGTAAATCGCTCTGACACTCCAAGTGAAGGGCAGGGTATAAATCCAATCTCTTCTTCTTCTTCTTCTTGATGGCTGTGGATGGATCATTCAGCGGTGGGCAGATTGCATGTGTGAAACAGCAGTGAATGGCTCTCTCTCTCTCTCTTTCTCCCTCCCCCCCCCATCAGATTTTTATCTCGCCCCTTCCTCGAACAAGCTCAGAGGGACGTCCATAGTTCCCTTTCCTCCACTTCATCCTCATAAGGACCCTGTTGGGTGCATTAGGCTGAGAGAGAGTGACTATGACTTTTCATGGCTGAGGGGGGGACTCGAACCTGGGTCTTCCTCGTTTTAGTGTAACGCTCTAGCCACTACGCCACTCTGGCACTGGTGTGGAAGCAGAAAGAGGGGGCTGTGTGTTGGCAGACAATTAATCACCTTAAGAACATAAGAGAAGCCATGTTGGATCAGGCCAGTGGCCCGTCCAGTCCAGCACTCTGTGTCACACAGGGGCCAAAACCCAAGTGCCACCAGGAGGCCCACCAGGGGGGCCAGAACTCTAGAAGCCCTCCCACTGTTGCCCCCCCCAAGCACCAAGAATACAGAACATCACTGCCCCACACATAAGAACATAAGAGAAGCCATGTTGGATCAGGCCAGTGGCCCGTCCAGTCCAGCACTCTGTGTCACAAAGGGGCCAAAACCCAGGGGCCATCGGGAGGCCCCTCCAGCAAGGCCAGAATCCTTCCCACTGTTGCTCCCCCACCCCCAAGGACCAAGAAGACTGAGCACCACTGCCCCAGACAGAGTGTTCCCTCTGTAAAAAGTAAAGGTAAAGGTTCCCTTGCTCGAAAGCCAGTCGAATCCGACTCTAGGGTTGTGGTGCTCTTCTCCGTTTCAAAGCCGAAGAGCCAGCGCTGTCCGAAGACGTTTCCGTGGTCATGTGGCCGGCATGACTAAACACCAAGGCGCACTGAAGTGGTACCTATTTATCTACTTGCAACGTCTTGCTTTCGAACTGCTCGGTTGGCAGGAGCTGGAACTAGAGACGGGAGCTCACTCCGTCATGCGGCAGCTCGGGTCTCGAACTGCTGAACTACTGACCTTCCACAGCCTGCAGTTCAGCGTCTTAACCACTTGAGCCACCGCAGCTCCTCTGTACCTTGTGGCTAACAGCCACTCATGGACCCCCTGCTCCATATGTTTATCCAGTCCCGCCTTGTAGCTGTCTATGCTTGCAGTGCTGTGGCAGTGAATTCCACATCCTTATGGGATGCAGGGTCTTCTCTTTCTCTTTCGCATCCTGGGAATCTGCAGCAGGCGAGTGGATCTGCCGCCTTGCCGGAGGGCCGGCTTGCCCCCACTCCTGCTCTTCTCCAGAGATGCGGCAACCCACGCCGACCGCGCCCCCCAGAAACAAGCGTGCCCTGCTCACGGCGCCAGTCGCCTCTCGAATCGAGCACCCCACGCTATCGAATTGCAGACTGACTCCCAGTTTAAGACTACCCGTCTGTCTTTCAGGAGCATTGGTGTCTATGCAGCTGGCCGTATTCATCTCTATGCAGGCAGCTGTCCAGGAGTGGCGGCGGCGGCCGGCTCCTGTTGAGAGGTGATGGGGCTGCTGGGAGTTGTCGTTTTTCCCAGCTTCCCCATTCAGTTTGAGCAGCACAGAAAACTACAGTTCCCATCAATCCTGACGGGAAGTCAAACCGAGGAAGAGTGGGAAGGAACCCTGACTCCTCTCTTTAAAGAGCCCTGCCCTGCCCTGCCAGGGTTACTCCCCCCCCCCTTCAGAAAAGTAAGATTTGTAGTGGTGTGTGTGTGTGTGGAATAGTCAGAGAAGGGGACAGAGACCTGTGCGTTTACATGAATGCATTTTCCAGACCTGTCTTTAAACACTCACAAATGCCCCGTTTAGGGAGTTTCGTGCATGGATGACACAGGTGTTTTCCAGGGGTCATTTTGTAGAAAAAGAGGTGCAGGAGCTCATTAGCATAACTCATTAGCATAACTTGACTGGAAGTGTGTCAGAAGGCAACACCCACCGCTCAGGCTCCACTGGACTGTTTTGGATTGCTAGCTGTTGGGGCAGGGGAACGTGCAGATCTGTCCTCACAGAGGAAGGAGAGCTTGTACCTGAATAAAACTTGGTCCTAAAGGTGCCACTGGACTGTTTTGGACTGGGAGCCTGGGGAGGGTTCTGCAACTTACCTGGCTGCTTCTTGCTCTGACTGAGGGCTGCTGGGAGCAGGGGGTGGGGCTTGTTGCATGTGCCCGCCCCCTGGGCTCTTTACTACCGGAGCTCCGTGCGCTCCTGCAGGAAATGACCCCTGGTGTTTTCTCTCCATCAAGTAGGGACGCCAGCCTCCAGGTGGGACCTGGGGATCTCCTGGAATTACAGCTCATCTCCAGGCTACAGAGATGAGTTCCCCTTGGAGAAAACAGCTGCTTTGGAGGGTAGACTCTGTGGCACTGGACCCCACGGAGGTCCCTCCGCTCCCCCGGCACACCACCCCCAAATCCCCAGGAGTTGCTCAACCTGGATCTGGCAACCCTATTAGAGACCCCCCA